CTCCAGTGCCCATTTCTGCAGCGCTTGGCAGTTGACTGCTTTACCCCCTCAGGTGGTTTTGCAGGGAAGCACCTCCTTGAGATATTCCTGGTCAACAGTTTTCCCAGTCATCTTAGAGGGCTGATTTGTTGGTTCAAAATTTCAGGAGCGTCCTAGGTGAAATCAGAAACTGGCCCTCCTATGCAAACTGCAAGGAGAGACTGAAGACAGAGGCAGACAGGTCCAAATTGGTAGGTCCCAGGTTAAATAAACAAGGGAATTTACATACAAGGCTTGTCTTGGGGAGACTGCAAGATAAGTAGATCTCCACACCCACCCACCTGAATATTCAAAGTTTATACAGAGATCTTAACTGAATTCAGTCACATCAACAACACATTGCTCTGTTAAGGTTGTGTCCTTGAAAATAGCTTAAGCTATTGGAATGGTGGGCGGAACTTATACACCAATGACAGGGGAGGCAGTGATGAGCCTCCAGTTGCCGTGGGTCCAGCTCTTGGGTCAAGTGGAGGTCACGTCCTCTCCATGACTTCCTCCAACATGATTTCCAGCAAATTCCTCAGTCCAGTCCTGAGGATAGTGGCTGCTCCTCATATCTGCTATTCCTATATTCTTTAGAGTTTCCTTATTTTTTTTTAATCACTTCCTCATCACTGCAATTCCCTGTTGTAGCTGGCAATTCTTAATATTAAACTTTCCCTGTTCAAATTGCTATTATTTTGCTTTCCTGAATGTACACTTATCAATATCCCTAGTGATCTCCAATCAGTTCTTTTTTTAATGTCTCTTTCAATACAAAAAGTTTCTGAAATCTTTTTGCACTGATTTATTTGCAAATGACAGCACTAAGAGTAGCAGGTTTTCATGTCTTGCGTTCTCCTGGGATGCTTGTCACTCCTATCGGGCTCTCCTCAAGCATTTCCACTTTAATTAGATAAAAGAAGGGACTGCAATCAGGGCCCCAGTGATTGGGAAGCTTTGGACAGAGATTTGACATAGATATTAGGACAGAAAGGCACATGACACTATCTTGGGCTTCCTCTTTCTGATTCAGTCACAGGTTTCAAGCCCCCTGTTCTATACACCATGGCTTCACCTGACAGACTTCCTGCCCAGGTTCATCTGTTGAATTTTGATGGGATTAATTTTTGAATGAGAGATTTTATATTTAGCCAAGTTATTCTTCATATATATACATATATATGAAAAAACTATAGCAAGGTATGCAATTATATATGTACCATTCTGAAAAAAAAGAAGATAACTTTGCAATTTACATCAGAACAAAAAAAGAAAAGAAGAACGGAGAAGATAAGAAACACAAGGATTAGCAGTGAGCATTGGCATCATTTAAACGAAGAACTAAGTTTAAATAAGTGTAGTATGTATGCTTATTTGTTCCAGACGAGTTTATTGAGTGCCCATTATGTCAATTCTTCCAAATCAATCCGTGAATTTAATGAAGGTCCAGTTAAAATGCCAATAGAATTCTTTTATGTTTAGTCTAAATAGGCCCATTAGAGCAAATGTAAAAACATAGTTTAAAATTTTTGAAAAATAACATTCATAAATGAGAAATTATTCTATGAGTTACCAGAATTTATTATGATAGTACGATAATTAAGACAACATGGTACCAGCACAAGAATAGACATATCAGTGGAACTGAGTGGAGAGCCTGGAAACAGCCAGGATATGTAAAAGAATCATGTTAAAAGTACTGACTCTAACTGATGGGAAGAGCTGTGATGTCCATCTAGGGCTGATAAGGAAGGTATAACATGAACTAATGACTTCATACCAGATACAAAATAAACTCCAGGTAATGAAAGGAATGACAACAGACAAAAAATTATTCTGTAAACTAAAAAATTCTAGAAGAAAACATAGATTATTTTTATAGAATTCTGGTGAGGAAAACATTCATAAGCCAGGCCCAAAGGAAGAAGTAATAAAATAAAAGATAATAGCAGACAAAAAGTTGTAACTGCTGAATGACAACATATATGTAACACAATTCAAAAAAAAATAAAGACTGAGAAAATATTTGCCACATACACGGGAAAAATATATAAAATATAGAATGCAAGTAGCTTATAAATCAATACAGAGAGAATATAATAAAAATACATTTTATATATTATGTTATGCAAAATAGGTTTTAAAATAAATCACAGTAAGAAAAACAAATGGCTAATACATGTAATGAAATGATTATCAAAATCATTAGGGAAATGCAAATTGAAACAAGGTGACATTTTTAACCAATCAAGCTGGCTAACAACTGTAAACGATTGATAGGAGCCAGTGTTAGCAAGAGTGAAAGGCAGTTTTGGAGGTGGATTCAGCAGCAACATCGAAGCATAAATTTTACATAGCCTTCAACAACATAATTCCATTGCTAAGGAATCTGTTTAATGCAAAAATGTGCACAAATGTACAAGGTATTTATGCCATGATGTTCATTGATGCATTATGTTTATTAACTACAACTGGAAGACTACACTTAATTTTACAACAGAGAACCAGTTAAGTTATGATGGTGTGATGGCCCTTAGTTGACTTTTTCCTCAGATCCATGCCCCCACCCACCTCCTCCTCTTCTGCTGTATGTCTCCAAGCGCTGGCCTCACATATGTCTTTTCCTAGGCTCCTCTTTCACCTGACTTTGACTCATTTAGGCCAATGGGAAGTACTGCTGGGAGATTGGTGGGCAGGAAGTGAGAAGCCACAGCAGTTTGTTTCCATTCCCTTTCTGCTGGTGCTAGACAGGTCCATTGTGGCTCTAACTTTCTCTGGGTGACCCAGCCCCTAAGCTCTACTCACACAACCTCCTCCTTCTGTCCCTATAGTTTAAGGATGCTAGTGGTTTCCTATTGATATTAATCTCTAGATTGCCTCTTTGTTCCCACTTGGCTTTTAACTCTTCCATCATCTCTGTAATTAATTCTTTGTATTCAAGTTCCTCTACTTGAAATGCGTAAAATCATTTTGTTTTCCTACTTGGAATACACACACACCTCAGCAGTCAGTAAAACAAAAATGCTGTATATTCATATACAGCGTGAAAGAATGTTCCTGATAAGTTGTTGGCTCCAAGGAGGACAGTTGCTATATCTTCTGTTTAATATAGTCTGTTACCAGAAAAACCAAACAATGTGTGTATGTACAAATGCATTTACCTGTTGGTAATAATAATGATACTAACAATTAAACTTTGTAGGAAAAATAGGTATGCAAAAATACCCACTAGGACAAATTTTTCTTGTGATGTTGAAGGGAAGGATATGTGTGTGTATGTTGAGGGGAAGGGGTGCTGCTATTTTTACTTTAAATATCACTATGTTTGAATATTTCTCTTCCATCATGCATTACATATGTAATTCAAAAAAAAAATGGAAAAGCAGGTAATAAAACACTGTGCCTAATCTGATCACTTTTATTAAATATGTATGTCCATATGTATTCATTTGCAAGTACAGTCAGTTTTGCAATATTTCAAAACGGCAAATTTGTTCCAAACAGGATTAATATTTTAGGCAATAACTTGAGCCTGCCATCGATGCTTATGTGTGATTTTGTCAGTGAGAAACACCAGGTGAATGTTAAAGGTTACACCCAACTGAGCTGAACGGTTTAGGAATACACAAAATGTACACATGTGCACATGCTTTAAACGTGTATCAGCGTCCTCAGTTCACCTGTGTGTTACTAGCCATGGGATTCGTATCTGGTTTACAACTTCCTATCTGACTTCAGGTAAGCCTCTTTCCAAGACTCCACAGTAACTCACAATCTGTAACTCTTCCAGTGCCTACTTCCACAAACAAACATCAGGTCTTTTGAAAGATAAAGCGACAGATTTATTGCAGTATTTATCATTCCTTTATGTAACATGTACGTTTAAAAATGTGCCACCTTTTTTTTTAGGTTCTGATTTTGTGTGTGTGTGTGTGGGGGGTCATTACAGAGTTTACGAGTTTGGAACTCTAATCCCATTTTTTTCCTCATAAACCCAGTGGTTTCTATTGCAGTTTTGCATAGTATAGTGACTTTTAACAACACATATGTCACAGGATAACAGAACTGACTGTACATACACCGAAATGTTAATTACTTTGGGTAGTAATTTATTTGTTGCTTATCTAATTTTTTTTCTGAAACAATTGTGTATTAATAATTTAACTGAATCTACATACACATTTTTAAAATGAAAGTTAAGGTGATAACCACAGGATGACTACAGCTATTCTAGGTGGAGCCTTGAGGCTATTCGAGGATGCTCCACTAGTTCACTAAGGATGCCATCAAGTGCCCTCTAGTCTACTTAGAAAGAATAAACAATTTAAGCTCCTCCTAGAAAACAGACATAAGGTCTCACAGTCACATCTTGGCAGCTTTTTAAATAAGACAGTCCCCCTAAATTCTAAGAATACAGATGTGACTAGTCAAGATTCCATTAAACAATGTAGACCGTGTAATAAGGCAGATGCCTCTAAATTGCTTTGCAAACACTCAAAAGGTAACATGATACAGATCCAAAAATATATAGGCAAAGACCAGTGTGATATACAGACTCAGTGCTTATTGACTTTCAAGCTTAGTCTTGTTAAGTGAGATTAGAGCACCCTGTCCCTTCAGGATGTATGACTCTGTGGGGAGACAGCAGACTTGAACATCATGAGAATTCCAAAAGGGAGGGGAAAAAAATTTCTTCATGCGAATTGAGTCTTGAATTTCTGTCCACTTTTTCAGACTACACTTTCACCAGTGAACACTTGTTTTCCTCCCCCTTTCGAAGGAGGTATTATGTGTTTTTTGTTGTTGTTTGTCTGGTTTTTTTTTGTTTTTTTTTTCCCCTAAGGGTAAGTAGCTCCACCTACGGTCAAACTCTATTGTTTGTTTATCTTTGATTTGGGCGTGATTCCCTCTTTTCCTCCCCCACACGCCGGTTTCTAGGACAGCGCCCACTGAACTTTGAACTCGTTCTTGATCTCAGTACTTTTCTGTCTTTTCAGCACAGAATCTGCTGTTGGCTGAGCTCTCCATGGAGCTTTGTTTCTAGCTGTTCTCTGACAAAGGGCTTGTTCTGTGAAGCACATCTCTTCTTTGTTCAGTCTCTGGCTTCAGCCATTGAATCACAAATTCTCTCCAGCTGGGAAGCAGACGAGGGCAGAGATGAAGAACCCGGAAGGCCAACAGGATGTTTCTGTTTCCCAGGGATTCCGCATGATGTTTTACGTGATGAAGCCCAATGAAACCTCATTCCAAACCCTAGAAGAGGTGCCTGACTATGTAAAAAAGGTGAGACTATCTGGCAACAGGCTGCTTTGGCTTTTTTTCTTAATATGAAGTAAGTTAAATACATCCTTGGTGTTTGTCCACTTTCATTCTTCAAATTATTAAATTCTAATAAAAAACAATTCCTTTTCCTAAAGATATGGAGCAAACACAGAATTTGTACTTGAATTAGATTTCTGTACAATATCCTTAACCATCTTCTACTAAACTCCCCTCCCTGATATGTCACTCTAGAATATGACAAAACTTTCAAAAGTTTTCCTGGACACAGTAGCATTACAAATTTAGCTGTTGGAAGCTCAGTGTGGAATGGCTATATGACATCATTAAACTTTGTAACAATTTTGTTTTTTTAAGGGTAAACTTGTCTACCACCTCCCAGGAAACAATTTCCTCTTTAATTTGGTAGAGTAGTGCTGCAGAATGGATATACAGCTAACTGAGTCCAACTCTGATTTCCTAACTTTGAACTTGAACCAAGTTTTATTTGAAACTCTGAAGTGTTTAGAGGCACTTTTCACTTTTGGTTCCTGGCTATGATTGGAAGTGGAAATATCCAGAATTAGAACTTGAATACTGAAGTTCCCCACCCTGTCAAAATTGTTCCTACAACACTTATTAGTTCAGGCCAGAAATAGAAAGAAAAAAAAAATGACATCAGAGAATATGTTCTTGGGAGTTCAGTTTAGGAAACTTCACAATTCATGATCAGCTTCAAATGAATGAAACCCATAACTTTTTCAGGATTTGATATTATTCCTTCTTTCTGGTTTTTTAAGAAAAAAAATGTGGTACTTAACATCTTCATAAATTATTTTTTATATTGCAACTCCATCATTAGTGGAACCTAAAAACACCTATTATATAAAGCAAAATTAAAGCTGAATGAATAAAACTTGCTGTTTCAAGCATTTAACATGACCTTATTTTTTTAAATACTCAGAAGAATATTCTTTGTTCCTATAGTTTCAATTTTGTCATCCCTGTAATTCTAAGATGAAAAATCTAGATTCATGGTATATCCTTAAGGAATACCTTTTAAAGCGAGTCTAGCTTAGTGACAGGTAGATAATGGGTAGATAATAGACAAATAATTGCACTTATTTTAAAATGTATTTTTTAGGTCTAACTTGAAACATGTTCCTGCTAATCTTATTTTCGTAGCGCAATTATCATGGTTACCTCTGCTTACATTTTATTTTCAAATTGGATGATAGAATTGGAGCTCCTGTTTAGTATACATCTGAAATAATCAAATGTACTCGTTAGGAGAAAATGGTTCTCTAGGAAAGGTGTACGCCTATTCCTTGTATAAGATGTCACTCTGGGATGACTACTGAGGAAATGTGAGAGAATTGTATACCGAGCACAATCACATCTTTTCTCTGCAATTTCCTTTCCAGGCAACTCCATTTTTCATTTCCTTGATACTGCTTGAACTAGTTATCAGCTGGATTCACAAAGGGAAGCCCTCAGGCCGTTTGGATGATGCATTAACATCAATATCAGCTGGTGTCCTGTCTCGGCTTCCAAGGTGAGCAGCACTGATGTAATAAACTGAAATTCTCAAATCTGAGGGAAAAGGAATTCGTTAATTTTCACATATATCTCCAAAGAATTCAGTTACTGTCATCTAAAATCTTGGTATTTTCTTCATCGTGGATTTTTCTATGCATTCATGAAAAATTACTGCTTCAATTATTATTTATCTTGATTACTGGCTAATTGGTGCCCCTGTAAATTTTGTGCCTGAGGTATGTGCTTCATTTACCCTACCCGAGTCCTGGCCTTGACTTATGGTGTTGGTATCTATTGGACAGTTAATTTTGCCTCAGGAAAATTCATATACTATACCATTCTGGTGTACAGGCACTCCCTGGTTAAAATCACGCAAAACTCTGGATTACTACAGTGGTCCTTAAGTGAGTCCCCTCTCTCTAGTCCTATTTCATTTGTGGCCAAACATTTCCATAATGGAAATCCAATGGAAACTCTACAGATTCCCTAGATAATGTACACATTCCTTTACTGATCTATGGAGGCCTTGGTCTATCCACTGTCATTCTCCTTCCCCCGTTTGCGTTATTTGTTCCTTCCATACTCTACTTCTTGCCATTGCCCGGATGTCACACGTGTTTTCCTCTGCTTGGGAAGCCACCCATATGTCCAACAGTGGTTCATTTCTTAAGTCTAGGCATAGAATTCTCTTGAAGAATCAGTCTTCAGCAGTCATTTTTGTTTACCCGCCCTGTGTTAGACACCGCTTCATTATGGTCCCATGGAATCTTGTGCTTACCCCAGATATGGGATTGCCTCACTTGTTTTCACTCCCAGCCCTTCCTGCTAGCTTGCTTGCAACTTGAGAGCAGAGGTGTTCATCTTTCTTCATAGTATTAACTCCTGTGCCTGGAATAATGTTTGGTACTTGGTAATTAAATAATAATAATAATAATAATAATAATAATAATAATAATAATATCCTCATAGTGTTATGTTGATAATAAATTGGATGATGAAGAGACCTAACAACAGTACATAATAAATGACCTACTACTTTGTAGAAAGAGTTATTATAATGTGTATTGAGGAGAAATCCATGAATGGAAGGTTCTTCAGTACAGGAGGATTTACCAAAGAGACAGAGGGTCAGGGGAGATTCCCTTAGAAGTATGTGCTCTGTGCTGCTTCCCACCCGTTGCCTCTTGTACTGTTTAAAAAACTTTGGTTCTGACCAGTGCTCACTTCTTTGGAATTTTTCTGTGAACCGCCCAGTGGGAAACCAAGTTGAATTTTAATAAAGAATAATAATAATAAAATAAAAAAGATATCTGAGAAAAGGTAAAATCATTTCATACAATTGAATAAAATTGTTTAGTTAGGAGGTCAACCTACAAGTAAGATTTATTTTATAAATGTTACTATGAATAAGATAGGTTAATAGGCATGAAGTAATAAAATTAATAATCATAATAAATATGATAATTACTCTCTGATAAATTACGTGTATGGTTGCACATTGTTTTCTGAATCAGAGGATAATATCTCAAGGTATTTGTAGTTAATTACTAGAATGCTCTAAATAAGAATTTATAATTATCCTTAATGTCCTCTGTTTCATATCTCCCTTGAACAGAACTGAACAAGAAATGCATTCAACATACTCAAGGAAGGGATAGGTAGATTTGGTATTGAAAAATACCCACTGGGTTATTGTAGTTCTTTCTGAGAAAGTTAAGAGTATAGGTTTATCAAAATTGAACAACTGGTGGACTGTAAAAATAATTTGATAGCTGAGAAGTGTCCTACAGGTGCGATTATGGATCACAAATTTTGTTGAGTTGAAATGGATTTATTTTTATTTTATTTTATTTTTTTAAAGATTTTTATTGGGGAATTGGGGGATGGGAACAGTGCTGGGGATTTGGGGGAAGGGGAACAGACAAGTTGCTGTCCTTTTGTTCTTCAGTCTAGTTGCGGAGGACATTGCTTCACTGGCCCAAGTTGGCACCATCATTGCGCTCTTCCCAGGTGAGGCAGATCATTTGCTGGCTTCTGGACGGCCACTCACAGCGGCTGCTGGCCGCTCACGCTGGCTGCTGGCTACACACGGTAGCCCACGGCAACCGACTGCCACAGGGGCTGCAGCCTAACCATCACCGGCTACTCATGGCAGCCCAGCTCCAGGTTGAGCTGTTGTTCAGCATCTTAGCTGTAGAGGGCAGTGTCACTGGCCTTCATCTGTGGGATTCGAACCGGGGCCCTCTGGCGTCCCAAGCCAGCTCTTAACCAATACGCCATTCAGCCGGCCCGAAATGGATTTATTGAAAACTCAGGGAGACATAAGTTGAATGAGTGCTTCTGCATTTCTTTTACGTTTTCAAGTTTGACTTTGGTCAAATGTGAAATTTGATTGTTCCCTTATAGTAACTATTAGAAATATAATCTTCATCCTCAGTACTATATTTCTGCTCAGCAGTGTGATTTTTAAAAGGTACAGTTATAGCAGGATGTGCAAGAATCAGAAATATATTTTTGCCAAAAACAAACCCCAAAAGCATAAGGAAGATGGGGAGAAGGAGTGGTGGGGGGGAGAAGGAGGGAAGGAGGTAGAGAGAGAACAGCAGTTCTTTTCCTTCACACCCCACTACTCATAACACTCCTTAAGCTAACACAAGCTGTTAACTCTGGTGCCCTTTGAAAGAAAGGTGAAAGGTTGCGAACTTGAATTTGGAGCATATTTTTCTGTAGTCGTATCTTGAATGGGAATGGCAAATGGCTTCGTTTTTGTTCTTATACGTGTGAACAGCATTTCTAAATTATGAAACGTGGTGAATTTTGTACGTTTTGCAGCGGATTTTACTTTTTCTAGCTTTTTTATCTAAAAGAGCTCAGCAAAGCAAGTGATCTGAAAACGAAATTTAAAAATATGGTTGTTTATTTTGTTGTTACTAAAAGAAAAAAGAGGTAAGCAGAGAAGGAGAGCGGATACTCAGGATCCATTCCATTCAACCCTTCGACAAAAGATGAGAAGCGGGGGTTAACAGAAACTCTTAAAAACAATATTTCAGATGATACTGGAGCATCAAGGGGAATCCTTGTGCAAATCATTAACAGCTGAAGGTTAGATTAACATGGCGCTGATCGTATCCTCTCCGAGGGACTAATTTCATTTTCTACAGGAGCAATAGGGCTTTGCCATTCTTAAAATACGTGATGGGAAGAAAAGTGGCGGTATACCAATTGTTAATTCGTTTGTGAGCCATCACGTAAATAGGCATGTGGCCTCTGACAAAAGAAGTTGTGGAAATCAAAGTGAAACCCTGAACATGTTTTTCCACTTTGCCATTCGTGCCATGGAAATGCTGTATGCACGCTGAGGAAAAACAATGTTCATTTGAGGATCTCAATTTTATTATTACATAAAATTTGAAATATCCTGAAGATTAGTAACATGCATACCATATTGATAGAAAAAAAAAACAAACACCAAAATCCAAAAAAAACCGACATCCTGTATCTTTCACATCGTTATGTAAGGGAAAATAGTCATCGTAGACAAGATTGTATCTTGTTTACAAGCCTGTCGAACAGACCATCATGTATAATAAAAGTCCATGTGTCCTAGGAACCAGATTCCGGGCAGGCCTGCATCTGTTTCGCTCTTCTGAAATCCAGTAGGCAGCCCTCCTAGTCAGAATCTAGTCTTGGAAGTTATAGACGGATCTTTCTAGTTATCATAGTTAAATGCAGTATATCACATGCAGATAATCTGCCTTTCTACCAATTACTTGCATATGTGACTATAAAAAAAAATTAAACGTACAAAAATTTTTACTAAATCCATTTTCTTTCATAAAATCTCTCTAAAACTTGTGAACTAGCCTGCTACTGACTTAAATGCTAACGAGTGAAAAATAATCACATTTTTTTTTTCCTGCTTGTTTAAGCAGAACTCAATTTCCAATCCTTCATTAGAAAACCGGGACCTCAATTTGTTACTTCCTTCCAATGTTTCTGCTTCCATAAATTGCATCCTCCCCAGAGAAATTTTATTCCCGATATAAATATCTACAGTATGTTTGTTTTTAATGGGTTCATTTATTCTGTTGAAACAGCAGATTATAAATCAAATTGCAATAGGTTGGAGGGATAATTTAAGTAGGTAAATTTTCAAATAAGTTGGGGACACTCCACTTTTAATACATATGGGTCACTGCCAAATTTCACTATGGAGTTAGCTCCGCAGTGTTCAGCCTTACGTATGCACAGTTTTACTGGCCATGACTGCCATGGAATTTTCCATTCCTGACAAGAAAGTTTCAAAAAAAAAATTTAAAGAGGAGGAAATTAAACTTCTTTGAAATACTTTTTACTCCTTGGGGTGTGACTGGAGAATAAAGAAAAATTGTGTACTGGGTTTTTAATACTAGACTTTAGTATCGGAGGTAATACTGCCTTAGGGCAACATCAGACTTCTGACAAATGAGTGCCTGTCATTTTGGATGATGACTTTAATAAAGTTATTCATTGTCCAAAATAAGAGATCGATGCATTGTGTAATGTTAAGAATAATATTTTGTTATTAATAGTAACATTTATTAACTTAAAAAATCATTCAAAGGACACCCCATTTGAAGAAAATAAATTTTAAAGATCTTGCTGGTGTGTTAATTATATTTGCTAGGGAGAATGCCTCATTTCCTCTAAACTTTTACCTTAGAAACCTTACAAATAGACTTTGTTGTTATTAATTGCATAGCTTCAGAGATTGCTGTTAGAACAACTTTTCCTTATGAATGCAACTTTCTTTGTGCTTATTAGTCTGCATCTGTGTTCTTATTCAACAGAGTGATTAAGTTACTTGAAGTAATTTACTTCTTGCACAGTCAAGAACGTAGCAAATTTACTTCTTTCCAATCTACTACATGGTGTTTATAAAAGTCTACGGTTTTGTGCTTGTAGTAAAATGTAATAAAATAAAGTAATTGCTTTATAAATAATGTCTTTTCACAGTACATAATAGCAGTACGAATT